GGTAGGATCCTTAGGCACATGGACCACCAAGGCTTTCTTCAAGGGTGACCGGCATCCCCCTTCTTGCCACACTCCCCGCTGCATAGAAGGCAGGCTGTAACCAGAGGGTGATCTGGGGCTGTGGGATTTAGGCACTTAACTCAACTTCCAGAGATGGAGAAGTCCACCACTATGCCTGAGGAGAAAAGCAGCCCCACCAATGTGGTTCAGAGGGATCGTGAACAAGGGGCGTTGTCTCGGGAACAGGGAGAGAGCCCCAGTGACCAGCCTGAAGTGGTCAAGCAAACAAGGGACAGGAGGACAGCTGGAAGTATTGACATGAACAAGGGTATGGGGCCAGGTGAACAGCTCCAAGTGGTCATGCTAAAAAGGGGGTGAGACTAGGTGAAAAAACGGAATTGCACTAGTGAAGAAGGGTTTCAGGCCATGCGCACACCTGGAAGTGGTCAAGTGGCCCCGTTAATGGGGAGGAGAGTCACAGGAGGACATACACACCTCACCTTCCTGTGTCCAGACAATGGATGGCAGCAAGAAGCTCTCTGTCCTCAAGGAATGGTGATCGCTAAAAATGAGGGAAAAAACGAGTCTCAGGGCTTGGCAACCAATAAGATACCCCGGAGGGGGCAGAATAGTGCTCCCAGTTTGAATGGGGTTTCAAGGGTTTAACACTGACCTTTCCTGTTATCAAAGGCCACAGGAAGGGTATCAGGGTCACAGTTCAGTCCAGCGTGAGATGACAACATGGTGGCGTCGATGTAGGATCCATAGGCACATGAATCCTCATGGCTATCTTAGAGGGGGCCTAGCATCCCCCTTCTTGCCAACCTCCCTACTGGGTAGAAGGAAGCGTGTGACCAGAAGGTGATCTGGGGCTGTGGGTTTTTGGCACTTGACCCAACTTCCAGAAATGGCTAAGTCCAACCCGATTCCTGGGGAGCAAAGCAACCTGGCCAGTGTTCTCAGTGGTCCTGTGAATAAGGGCGCAGGTTTTAAGAACAGGGGAATGGCCCAAATGACCAGCCGGAAGTGGTCAAGTGAACAAGGGCCAGGTGAACAGCTGGAAGTGGTCAATTGGATAACATTGTGAGGCCCTGTGAATGGTAGGAGGTTCAGAAGAGAACCCAAATGCCTCACCTTCCTGAGGTCCACACTCAGGATGGCAGCAAGAAGGTCTCTGTCCTCATGGAATGGTGATCGCTGTTAATGATGGAGAAAACTAGTCTCAGGGCTTGGCAACCAGTAAGTTACTCCGGAGGGGGCAGAATAGTGCTCCCAGTTTGAATGGGGTTTCAAGGGTTTAACACTGACCTTTCCTGTTATCAAAGGCCACAGGAGGGCTGGGTAAAACGAAGCCTGTGACCAGAAGGTGATCTGGGGCTGTGGGATTTAGGCACTTAACTCAACTTTCAGAGGTGGGGAAGTCCACTCCTATCCCTGAGGAGCAAAGCAACCCGGCCAATGTAGTTCAGAGGTAAGGAGAACAAGGGGCGGGGTCTCGGGAACAGGGAGTGGGCCCCAGTGACCAGCCTGAAGTTGTCAAGCAAACAAGGTCCTGTAGAACAGCTGGAAGTATTCATGTGAACATAGCTATGGGGCCAGGTGAACAGCTGCAAGTTGTCATGCTAAAAACGGTTTTAGATGAACTGAAAAACCTGAATTGTACTAGTGAAGAAGGGTTTCAGGCCAGGTGAACAGCTGGAAGTGGTCAAGTGGATAAGCTGGTGGGGCATAGTTAATGTGGAGAAGGGTCAAGGAGGACAGAAACACCTCACCTTCCTGTTTCCAGACAATGGATGGCAGCAGGAAGGTCTCTTTCCTCAAGGAAGGGTGATCCCTGTGAATGAGGAAAAAAAATGGTCTGAGGGCCCAGAATGAATGGGGTTTCAGGGACTTAACACAGATCTTGTCCTGATATAAAAGTGCACAGGAAGCGTGTCAGGGTCACAATTCATTCCAGTGTGAGATGCCTCCATGGTTAGGTCCATGTAGGATTCCTAGGCACATGGAGCCCCATGCCTATCTTAAAGGGGTTATCATCCCCCATATTGCCATCCTCCCTGTTGGGTAGAAGAAAGCCTGAGACTAGAAGGTCATCTGGGGCTGTGGGTTGTAGGCACCTAACCCAACTTCCAGATATGCGAATATCCACCCTATCCTTGCTGAGCAAAGCAGCCAGGCCAGTGCCCCTCAATGGTAAGGTGAGCATGGAGGCTGAGTCTCAGGAACAGCGTTTCGACCCAGGTGACCAGGCTGAAGGTGTCAGGTGAACAACTGCCAGGAGAATAGTCGGAAGTGGACACCTGAACAAGAGGGTTGGTCCAGGTCATCTGCTGGAAGTAGGCATGCCAGCAAGAGTTTGAGACCAGGTGAACACCTAGAACTGGTCAAGTGGATAAGGTGGTGCTTCCCTGTGAATGTGGAGGAGGGTCACCGAAACAGCTCACCTTCATGTGCTCCAGAAAATGGATGCAGCAAGTCTCTGTCCTCAAGGAAGGGTGATCACTGTGAATGAGGCAAAAATCTGTTTGCAGGGCCCTACAACCACCGAGAGGGAAGAACAGTGCTCCTGTAATGAATGGTTTTTCAGGGGTTTGACACAGAACTTATCCTGATATCAAATGCCACAAGAAGGGTGTTAGGGTCACAGTTTAGTCCAGTGTGAGATGTCCCCAGGTGGGGTCGATGTAGGATCCCTAGGCACATGAATTACCATGGCTATCTTAAAGGGGGCCTAGCATCCCCCTTCTTGCCAATCTCCCTGATGGGTAGAAGGAAGCCTATGACCAGAAGATGATCTGGGGTTGTGGGTTTTACGTACATAACCCAACTTCTAGAAATGGGTAAATCCAGCCCTATGCCTTAGGTGCAAAGCAGCCGCGCCAGTATTTCTCAGTGGTCATGTGACCAATGGGGAGGGGGACTGGGGAAATAGAGGAGGGCCCAGGTGACCAGCTGGAAGTGGTCAGGTGAACAATGGCCCGGTGAACAGCCAGAAGTGTTCATATGAACAAGGTTTGGGCCTGGTGAACAGCTGGAAATCGTCAAGTGGATAATGCAGTGGGTTCAAATGAATCAGAGGAGGGTCAGAATAGGACCCAAATGCTCCACCATCCTGTGGTCCAGACTCTGGATGGAAGTAAGAAGGTCTCTGCCATCAAGGAAGGGCATTCCCTGAGAATGAGGCAGAAAGCTGGTCCTCAAGCCTAGTGAACAGTCAATGACTCTTGAGGGGGAAGAACAGTGTGCCCAGAATGGAACAGGGTTTCAGAGGCTTAACACAGCTCTTTTCCTGACTTCAAAGGCCACAGATTGGGCTGTCAGTGACGAGGGGAGGCCAGTGTGAGATGTCCACATGGTGGGGTCGAAGTGGAATCCCTAGGCACATGGCTACCTTAAAGTGGGGCTGGCATCCCCCTTCTTGCCAACTTCCCTGCTGGGTAGAAGGAAGCCTGTTACCAGAAGGTGATCTGGGACTGTGGGTTTAAGGCACTTAACCCAACTCCCAAAGATGGGAAATTCCACCTGTGTGGCTCCTGAGCAAATCAGCCAGTCCAGTGCTGCTCAGTGATAAGGTGAACAACGAGACAGAGTTGGGAACAGGGGTTCAGTCCAGGTAACCAGGCTGCAGTACTCGTGAACAATTGCCAGGATAATAGTCAGAAGTGGTCACATGAACAAGGTGGTGGGTCTAGGTCAGTGATGGCGAACCTTTTGAGCTCGGTGTGTCAGCATTTTGAAAATCCCTAACTTAACTCTGGTGCCGTGTCACATATAGGAATTTTTAGATATTTGCAACCATGGTAAAACAAAGACATATTTTTGATATTTATTTTTGATATTTAATGACATTTAACAAAGAAAAATCAACCAAAAAAATGAGTTCGCGTGTCATAGGTTCGCCATCACTGGTCTAGGTCATTAGTTGGAAGTAGTCAAGTCAACAAGGGTTTGGAGCTAGGTGAACACCTGGAACTGGTCATGTGGATAAGGTGGTGGGGCTCCATGAATGTGGAGGAGGGTCACAAGAGGACAGAAACACTTCACCTTCCTGTGTTCCAGACAATGGATGGCAGCAAAAAGATCTCTGTCCTCAAGGAAGGGTGATCGCTCTGAATGAGGCAAAAAAAAAAAATGGTCTCAGGACAGGCAACCAGTAAGTGACTCCGGAGGGTGTAGAACATTGTTCCCGGAATGAATGGGGTTTCAGGGGTTTAACATAGCTCTTTTCCTAATATCAAAGGGCACTGGAAGGGTGTCAGGGTCACAGTTCAGTCCAGTGTGAGATGCCCCCATTGTGAGGTGGATGTAGGATCCCTAGGCACATGGACCCCCATGGCTATCTTAAAGGAGGGCTGGCATCCCCCATCTTGCCAACCTCCCTGCTGGGTAGAAGGAAACCTGTGACCAGAAGGTGATCTGGGACACAATGAAAGCAGTCCTGAGATGGAAGTTTATAACTCTACAGGCCCACCTCAAAAAAACAAGAAAAAATGGTAGTAAATCATCTAACTATACACCTCAAAGAATTAGAATGAGAGCAACAAAAAAAGCCCAGAGTGAGCAGAAGGAAGGAGATAATAAAGATTAGAGCAGAAATAAATGACATAGAGACCATTACCTTGTCTTTCAAGACCCTGTAGAGACTCAACACTTGCTCTGGAGCCCAGCTCCTCCCCCTCCAGCCCCACACCTTCCAAGGACCTGGCAGCCCCCCCACCCACCGGGACCCAAAAAAACAACAATATATAAAATCAATGAAACCAAGAGCTGGTTCTTTGAAAGGATAAACAAGATTGATGAACCTGAGACAGGGGAGAAAGAAGATGACGGCGATATAGGCAGAGGAGTCCCAGGTCGTGTCCCGGAGCAAATGGAGTAAGCAGCTGAAACTAATAACACCCACTCCGAAGTGGCAAAATTGCTCAGCTGGTGAGACGGTTTGCAGCCAGGAAAGGCAGAACTCCCCTGGAAAGGTAAAAAAAAAAAAACCCAGGGATTTGGGCAGGAAAGTTTGCCAGCCCTCTGAGCCAAGAGGGTCAAAGGGAGACCGCGTGGCAGACAGCCGCGTCCCTTGCGACAGGCACAGCCCCTGACAGGGGAAAGGAGATCCGCGGGATTCCTGGCACCGCTGGGGGATTTGAGAGCTGGGTTCTGAGATCGCGGAGGACTCAGCCTAAAGAGGACAGCCTGAAGAGC